CAGCCATGATCCACCACAGCACACGTATCAATGGCTGCAGAGAGACAACATGGAGGAAGGTCACCCTGAGTTAAAGTTGAATAGGAAGATCTGCAGTGTTTACCTGTTGGGAAAGAGCTCAGAGGTTTACCTTTACATGTCTTTCCATCGGGGTTGAGAGTGAAGCCTTTCCTGCACTTACACCTGTAGGAGGCAGGACTGTTCACACAGATATGCTGGCACTGATGGTCCACCACCTTACACATGTCTGAACCTAATGCAGGAGCATCCAGAAACATTCAAGAACACATCTACACCTGCTGAATAACAAGAAACACTGTAATGACAATAAAAAAGGATCCATTACCTCCACACAGTTTGGACTTGAACACTGAGATCAGGGTTTCCATCTGACTAAAATTAGCCACTAGGTGGACATGTTCAGAATGGGGCTCACTGCCTATGGCCTTCAGAGTTTTCATTTCCACCCTTCCCACTCCGATAGCAAAAATCTGGATGCCAGCCTGCTTCGCTTGAGCTGCAATCTCTTCTACTGTGTCTTGAGGTCTCCCATCCGTTACAATCATAGCGATCCGTGGAATCTGTAAGCTCAGAGGTCTGGCTCCCTGTTCTTCAGTGAGTGCCACCTCCATGGTGTATTGGATGGCCAAGCCAGTCATGGTCCCTGTAGCAAGATGACTCATATTCCTCACAGCCTCCTTAACCTCAGCTTTGGAGTAATAAGTATTAAGGGAGAACTCGGGTTGAACCACACTGCCATACTGCAGAAGACCCACCCGTGTTGCATTGTGGCCAACATCAAGAAATTGAAGCAGATTAATGATGAAGGTCTTGACCTTCTCGTAGTCTTCTGGTCGGATGCTCCTAGAGCTGTCAATGACAAAGACGAAATCCAGCGGCATGGTTTCACAGGAATTCTCTGCAAACAGGAAGTACAGGTTCAGCTTATGTCACACCTAGCAGACACACACATGCCTTTTTGATCTTCTAATCTAAGTTTAATGAAATATATTGTTTGCATTTTACAGATCACAGTCTCTCCTCTTTCAGCCCAATGCAAATGCCCACTCTTGATGCCCACTTTGACCAATAAAAATGTTGTTTCTAACATACATGCAGACCAATAGCAATACGTCTCTGCTCATCACTACTGGGGGCGGGCTTTCCTTTTAAGTGAAGAGCATGATGTAAAGAGAATATGTAAAACGTAATTTAGAAAGAATGGGATTTGGAAAACACTGTAGAAAAAAATAATAAAATAAGCTTAATATTAAATCTGAAATAAAAAATAAAATAAAATGTGAAAGTATAAAATCTGCCAAAAAATATAAATATGAAAAATAAGTTTAAAAACTATCACATTCATTTTCCAGTGATCAACAGGGTGAGTCTTACCATGAATAAATACTTAAATGTAATGTGGGTTGAGGAATTCACACAGATTAGCATTAACACCATGAGTAATGGTGCGCTATGGGAGCTGGGACTATGCTGGAACCAGTAAATGGGAGGATCAGGAGGGAAAGCGTCTTGTGGGATTACCATTGTCTCCTAATCCAGGATGATTACTGGTTTATGAGCTGATTAGGCTCCTTAGATCGGGGTCTTCAATCTTGGTCCCCAAGATCTACTGCCCAAGATTTTATATGCATCTCTGCTCCAACAGAGATAATTCAAATGACTTATTGTCCCAGTTTAATACAGACCCAAAATAATGTACGAATTTATAGGAAACATCTTGTTATGCCATGATCGTGGTTTGGGACATTGGGAACCAGTCTCCATATTTCATCTTGACATGATGACCAGTGAGACCTCTACACCACCCCCTTTCCTGCCTCCACAGGTACTCCCACAGAGGTGTGACTTGTATTGCCTCCCACACAGAGCTGAGAACAGTAAAACCATGAAACACAGGATCTCTTTCTGTTTCCCATGAAGCTTTCTTTTCCATGAACCTGCCTTGGAGCTCCAGCCACCATGGAGATCCAGGCAAAAAGGTCCAGAACTCCAGAATGACCAAGGATAAGTAATGATGGCTGACTTTTCAGAACCAAACTGCTGCAAAACAAACTTTTTGCAACACATTTCTCT